CATGGTCAATTAATATCATTTGAGAAATTATCCGATTTAAAAGTAACAGCTAATCAATTATTCAATTGGTCAATACCAATCGATCAAATTGAAAAATATCAATTGTATTTGCATAACAACAAGTAAGCTATTGTGAAAACAATTTCTTCGCGTTCTTGGGCCTCTCCCTAGATCGATCGCCCAGTGCTCAAAAAAGAAGGTCGTGTACCAATCAATAGACCTTGTTTGAGGCACGGGATTTAGAGCGACGGATAGTTACAAGAGACAAAACTCACATCGGTTCTTACTCGTTCTATTATCCTCTAGACACATGTGTTTTCGTCATTCTGAGGCCATCATGAGCTCTCCATGAACAACTATTATCAGAAATTTTGCGGAATGTATACCTTAAGATTTTATAAATAATGTAGCTAGATACCTTAGATACACTATTGATAATTGTGGTAGATGTTGTTGATATTTTGTTTAGAATTCGAAAACAGCATATAAAAACATTTTTTCTATGTTTAATTCAACACCATTTTGTGCACACTAATCTAACATAATATCAGGGGATTTTTGGATTGTCGTAAAACCTTGAAAGTTCCAGTTGGAAGTGAAAAAATTAACCGCGGTTTCGGTATCTTTCCGAGTCTGAAACAGCGATTCTCGATTTCCAGTTTAGAACTGAGAAAAGGTTTTTTAGAGCTGTACCGATTTGTCAGACAGCATTTGTTTCATCTCAAAACGAAAAAGTTTTTGAATTGATCGTAGACAACTGTAGCATTTTATAGCTTCGACGATAGTGTATTCAATGACAAACGAACGTTTATTGCTCAAGCCACAAAAAAATCCCTTAAATACTTAAAAATAACATAAAAAGTTGAATGTGTACGCTCCTGTTTTTGTTTTGTTTTAAAACCACGTACGAACATAGATGCAGATGAATCTTTTGAATTAAAATGGATGTAACTACACGAGTGTTCGTTCTACTGGAGAGTAAAATGACGTTTCACTAATTTATCGTAACGTTTCATCGTTTGTTTAAATTCTTTTGTATATGATTTGGATGGTACGACGAATATGAGAAATGTTGTCATTGGTGGTATGAATGAAATGAAATAGCCAGCAAAAAATAACCATGGTTGTCGTTGTGATTTCATACAACCAGAAAAAAATGAAATGATTAGACGTGGCACAGCTAGAAGAGTAAGAATCAATGGACTAATTAATAAATGTTTATTTTGATGAAATTGATCATTTAAATGTTCACAATAGGTCATTCGACTTTGTGATGTTGTTCTTCTTCTTGTAGCTGTAGTTATAATAACTAATGCTGAAATAATATTGATAAGAAAAGGTGCGACAAACTGAATAATGTTTAAAGACGAATTTAACCATTGTAACCATTTCAAATGTTGATAGGTGACAATACACCATTGACGTTCTTCTTCAGTATCCTCAATTAAACGACGATGAGTAAGATCATGAATAGCGGATAGTATATTAAATAAAATAACAATTATTATCACAAATTTTGCGGCATGTGTACTTTTAGATTTTTTAAATGATGTACCTACAATTGTGAGAAAATCAAGTAACTACTCCCTAAAAACAAATGTTCTGTAGGGAAACTTAAAATAGTTGTGTGAAGTTACAGTCTTCACAGAAGAAAAGGACCTATATGAAACCATTTTAACTGCATCAAAAAAGCTCATCGATGCACTTATTTATGTCTCTACATTCTGTTTATATGACATTCAGATGAAAAATGAAAATTTGAAGAAGATGTAAACTGTGATTTAAAGCAGTTTCGGGCGCGTTATATATTAAAAGCACGCCTGAACTACTGCACAGTGGGCAATCATGTGGACATTACACGTGTCTAGTCAAAATTGCTATGTCAATACGCTGAAACCGTAACATTACACTAAATCCAAACATTTTTTATTCAGAAATACCTCGAACACACATCTTTAGATGCAGTTTTTCGCACTGATTCTGAATCTGTTCTTACTTGTGAGCATAAGTGGCTTTTTAGACGAAAAAATTTAAAAAACCTCTAAAAATCCAGAGTTTTTGGAAAATCTATAACTCCACAAAGAAAAGTTTTCGCATCTTTTCGCATACATTGTGGATGTGTCATCTGTAGGTGAACCTATCATAAAGGTTTCAGCTTGATTGAAGCTATGCGCCTATATGCGCGTTGACTTTCCTAAGACCATGTCCTGGACAAGCACTTGGTGTACGGAAAAGTAGTTTTTTTCTCGACACAGAAAAGATTTCAGACAAAAACTTTTTACAGGAGTCGATAGCCCAACGTCTTATCTCTAAGAATATATATCTTTCATTTTTTTAAAATTTAATTTAGTTGGCTAAAAAAACGACCTTTTATAAATGAAGCACAAAAGCGTTAAAAAATCGCGACTTACTTTTCTAGATGACCTTAAGGACTTGGATCAAATTTTTTTCACCAATAAATCAGCCATCAACTGATGTATATAAGGCACTATTTAAATCTCAAAAAATGTTACTTTCGTGTTATCGCCAAATGTCCTCGTTATTCTCCACTGTGCATTAGGTGGAAAAACGAAAGTGGACTTTTAGTAAATTCAAATAGCAAGCCATATACTTGGGCAAACGCTCTATCTTTTTGCCACTGAAAGTTTTTTTTAGGTGTTATAATAAGCGATAAAATCGCCATGTAAATTTTTGTCGGAAAACGGACCAATTAAGTTAAAAAAATTATTTTCGTCAAAACAAAGTACGATTGTCGCAAAACTTGTACATCGTACGAAACTAAACCTTTGAATCTATCTATTCTTAAAAGAAAAATTTTCCAGAACTGTTTATCAACGAGAAATAAAATTTTCTTTCTATGCTAAGTGTGTTCCAAAAAGCGTACCGCAGTATAGTGGGTCCGCGAAGGTAAACAAAACTCCTAGTTCAATGAAATTTTTACCAAACATTCGTCTACTAGCGATATATCGACGCTGTTAGAGCAAATGCACTAGAGACCTGAGTTATAGGTCTTCCAAAATATCTGGCGTTTTCAAGTAAAATCCATTTTTCTCACTCCTGAAATACTTTTATAAAAAATTAATGATATATTTAGAATCAGCGTATTGAACTGTATCAAATGATATGTCATTTGTATGTTCTATGCGAGAAAAATCGTTTGATTTAATGAAATGACAGATTCACAGTGGGCAATTTTGACTAGGCATGTGGACATCTACCATAAAAGTGATACGAAAGCCTCTAAACGCAATTTTTATAGATTTTCGTATGCGCTCTTTCCAATGGTGTGGCTTACAAGTTTGGAGATATTTTTATCAGGGTTTTTCAAAGATCCGGTCTTTGTAAAACCCGACTAAAAGTGTTTATGAACTTTGTCAATCATACCATTGGAAAGAGCGCATACGAAAATCTATAAAAATTGTGTTTAGAGGCTTTCGTATCACTTTTATGGCAGATGTCCACATGCCTAGTCAAAATTGTCCACTGTGTACTGGAATGATTTGTGTATGCAACGAGTCAAAATGTTTCCATAAGGATACATTTTTTTGAAAGTGTTGTAAAAGAATAAAATCATAAATTAACCTAATGTAACATTAACCGATCGCTCTATAGCCACACATGCATAGAGGCAATCAACTGTTGGAGGCAAAAATTTCAACAAAAATTCAATTAGACGACAATTAACATTTAAAAATTTATAATTGGTAATTAATTTCATCTGCATCATTAATAAAAACCAATATTTAGCTGTAAATACAGTAATTGTCATTAATGATGTAATTGTTGCTGCTAGGAGATAATAACCACAACCAAAACAGTGTGTCGATTTTTGATTGAATGTAATTGCTGAAAGGATGTTTAACATGATTCCAATTATAAACATTATTACTGTTAATGCAATACCCAATTTAATACTTGATGGTTGTCTATTAACCGGAACATATGGTTGTATATGATAACCAATTATTGAATCTAAGGATAATGCATAGCCAATTGTTGTAAATTGACATCTCGAACCAAAATAACAATTGTCGCATACACATAATGATTCTCTTGGACATGCCAATTTATCTTGAAAACATTGACCTTGATTTAAACAATAATTATAATCATTACAATTATATGTTTGATTATGATTATAATTAAAACAATCAGTTAAATGACTTTCTGCTGTACACAAACACATTTGTTTTTCATCATAAAAACATTTTAGTTTTAAATTTTTTTGACATATTTGATGGTAATATTTTAAACGTTTGAACCGATCATCGATAGATGTTACATTTTGCTTGATATCATAGATTGAAGGACAATATTGCTCTATAGGTAGAAAAACTGTTTTAACAATTGTAGCACGATCTATTGTTTTATTATGTAGTATAATTAAATAATATTCTCGTCGTGTTTGATGTACTGAAGTAATTTCCAAATAAACAAGATGATAGTCGTCTGCATAATAAATTTTTAACATTGTTTGATATAAATTATTAATTTTTTTAAACACTGTTTGCCGCTCATTACCATCATATTTATCTACTTTAATAAAATGTAATAAAACTGATGATGCTTGAATTTGATCAATACCGTTAAGTATTATTTGATATTTGGGTGTATTACATGTATCTCCGAAATATTCGTCTGTACATAAACAACGAAAACCAGTATTTGCTCGACCATATAATTGTATACATGTACCACCATTTTCACAGAAATCACAAGTTTGGTCTATATAACATAGTGGTCCGGTTCGATCTAATTGACAAATACAGATTGATTGATTTGTCCGATGATTTACACCAACGCACAGAGAACCTTGAGAACATTGACATTTGTACTGTTCTTCACATGTTTTCCCAGTCCAGCCCGGATGACAACGACAATAAAATTCTGTTGCTTGGTTAAAATAAGCATAACAATCTCCATATTTACCACATTGGAGAGAACATGATAACTGAGGTTGAGAATTATTTTCTGGTATCATTATATCAATTGTTAAATGTTGAATAGGTAAAAATAAATAATTTATTGAATAATAATAACTGGTACGGTATTCAATTGGTTTCTGTTTTGTCGATATTTTTAAACTAAATATGTCAATACGAACCACATATGTTTTATTCAATGGTTTTGATTGTCTGTCATAAAGCAACGTAAACGATTGTTCTACGAAGCATAGATAAGGTATCTGTTCATATGATAAAATCTTTTGGTCATTATAATCAATTAAATAGATATGTAATTTAAATGTTAATTGATTTTCTAATGCACTTTGTTTACGTGTACGCATTGTTATGGATAAACGTTGTGATTGATATTCACAATGTACACCATAATATTGAGCAGGACAAAGACATTTTTCTTTTTCAATTGAATGATAAACAAGTATTCCATGATTACATGACCATAAAAGATGGGGATCATCAATATATTCCTCGACACTTGTATCGTTGTCACTATATTCTTTCTCAACGGATGATAATTCTTTTACTGATGGTACTTTTTGATTTTCTACCTGAAACGATATGGCACGCTACTCTAATAATAAAAACGGGTACTTTAACCTTTTATAAAAAAATTAAAATTTCTATTTTGTTATATACTTGATCATAAATTAATGTTTATTACCAATTTATTAAAAATTTTTATAGATACACGTGTTTACTTGACGCATGTTTGCGTTACTCACAGCCAGAGGGTTAAGAAACGTAAAAATGGATCTTATCGTAAGTACTAATAAGCATACATTTCCAAGGATCCGTAGGAAAGAAAGATCGGTGTAATAGATGAACTAAATGGGCAAATGAGTCGTGTGATACAATCGACCGCGTAATGAAATTAAATATTTTTCCATCTCAATGTATAATTTTTATGTAAGAAATCGTTTTCTGAAGAAATTGACCATTGTAAAATCGTTTTGACTTATTTCAGATGTTGACGTCTCGTCTCACCCGTAAGATCAATGTTTGAATTTTTAGTTTTGTACCGAGACAGCTTCCCTGCTTAAAATTTATAACGTTCCGAAGACTCATTTATTTTCTCTGTCGATTGATATATTATACTTGGGGAAAAAAAAATAAAATCTTGGCTGTTTTTAAGGCCTTCCCCTTCAAAAAGTCAATTTTCGTCAAAAAATGACTTTTGAGATAGACATACGGGCATGTCGCCTGAGATGTCTACTTTACAAGTATATAAAAATGTTATTCAATGTCGAAGACTTTTTCGAAAATTCTACAGCTCTCTGAGGCGATTTATAACTCTTTGTACACTTTGAATATCTCAAAGATGATAAAAGATAGAGATCTAGAGTTTTCTGCAATCGAAAGAAAACAGTTTTACCTATGGTTTCTTAAGTAAAATCCTTTTCGAAAAATATTCGAAAGATCGTTTTTCTAGGAGGTTTTTAGAAAACCAGTTCGGATCTCCGGATATTGAGATAGAAATCTAGCAGTTTTTTTCGTAGGTATATAGTCCAACGTGTCCCCTCCAAATGAGAACTAAGCAAATCCTTAATTTTTTCTGGATCAGGTGTGGCATCGAAGTTTCTGAGAGTTCAGGATCAATATTTGGTGCGGTGTAGTCGTTCCAAAAACGTATGGAAGCATAGATAAACAACCACGCTGAATCTGGAGGCAATATTTATTTTTCAATAAAGCTACAAAAACTTTGTGAAAACCTATATTAGATGAAATAACCCATGTTTGCCTATTTTTGAGTAAAAGCAAAATATTCATAACTCGGTCAAAATCCATCCAAATTACAATGCACTTCAATTAACTTTCTCTCCTTATGTATTTCTTACTTTAGACTATTACAGTTTGCTTTTTTTCAATAATGGATATATAGTGAGAAAGTACAGACTTCACTACTTCGCAGTTCCCGCCCAGTTTTCAAAAAGTGGTGGAAAGATTTTCGGATTTTTTATGTTCTCCGATTTCTGAGGTACTTGCACCTTGCTGTTATATCTTCGCACTGCCCTTGGTCAAGGGCTACTTTTCAATATAAAACTTTTATCTCTG